TTTTTTTTAACAGTAAGACTATGTTTCAATTATACATATTAGTAAAAAAAATGCTTGAACATTTTACATTGGACAGTTTTAATTTACCAAAAAAATATTACGTGTAATATAAATTGATTATAACGTGTGGAAATTTTATTAACCAAAATTTTATTGTTTGGGCTTTTTAAAGTGTCCAAGAGTTTACAGATTTTTTCTTCTTACTAGAATATCATCAAAATAAATCTTATGCCAAGTCTTCTCCAATCACATGGTTATAAATAGAATTCTTAATTACTCATTTAAAAAGTTTTCTCCAATAAACTAATTATATATTAGACTTTGATGGGTTCATATATATCTACAATAACTATCTTAAATTAGCACATTCATTGTCCTTCTATTGATTGGTGAACTGCAAAACTCATAAATAAAACGTATTTTATTTATGAGAAAATTGTAGTTTGAAAACCAATGTTTCCCTTACTACAATTTAACTATGTGTTTTATTAATAAAATATTATATGTAATATACAAAAAATAAATATAAATGAAATTTTGAATTAAAATAATAATATTTGTGAGTGTGAATGGGAGTATAATAAAAATTCTGGTGTCAAAGTACAGGTCCTAATTCATACATCACTTAAATTTCTCATTAATGCAATTTATTTGTCTTTATCTTTTTTAAAAGATGAAAAGGAGATTGAAATTGTAATCGGTGTCCTTTATTACATTTACCACATTCAACATGCAACCCTGTTAGCATCTCGCGAGTTTAACAAGATTGTACCGTCTATCTGCCATTGAAGTCTGTTAAAGTGCGCATGAAAATAAACTTTTCCAGAACCAAAAATAAAAAATAAAAAAAACTCTAAAGAAAATGCAGTGGGGAATTATTCTGGTAAATTAACATAGTGCTAAACCGAAAACATGGTATTTTGTTTGGAAGTGTGTCATGGAAGTTCTTGGGTCCCCTTTTTCCTTGAAAAAATAGCTCCAATCAAAGGAATCAATGACTTCTTCTTCTTCCTCAGAGAAGGGTGCCTTTCCAACTTTCCAACCCCTTGTTGTGGAAACATCATATGAGACACCGATGGAGGATTCGCGAACGTCACGTACCTTTTTTTCTGGAACTCCATCTTTTCCTCGTCAAATCTCGAACTTTTCACTCCAAACGTCGTCAAATTCTCCACAAACTTCACATCTTCGATTTCAGATTCCACCGGGTGTTTCTCGGTTTCTCGTTGCTTCAGTTGTTGAAGCTCTTCCTTCGTGCGTTCAAGCTCTTCCTGCAGAGAAGACAGACAATGCGCCATTACCATGCTTTCTTCCTTCGCCCTCTGCAGGTTTTCTCGCGTCTCCTCTAGCTCAGCTTCAACGTTTTCAATTCTCGAATACTCCACGCCATTTTCACTTCCTCCACTCTCCATCTGTAACCACATAACATTAGACTAGATTTACTTGTTCATACAATATTAAGATATGGAAAAAAAGAAGTAATCATGTATATGGTAAAGTGAAAAGTTATAAAAGAGTAGTATAATATCTCAGTACTTCATAGAAAGCTTGAAACATACAATGAATACATTGTAATTAAAGTATGAAAGCGTAAATTAATATTGTTTTTCAGTGCCTTTATTCTGTGACACGACAAAGAAAGCAAGGCACACATAAACCATTTGTTGCTTGCACCTTGTTACAAGAAAGGATAAGATTGGAGCTAATATTCTGAACTCCTCTTGAATTAATGAAATTTTGCGATTAAAAATACCGATAATTTAAACCATCTGAATGTTCAGAAAACGAGATTCTAAGATGGGGCTCAGATAAAAATGTTACTATTGGTTCAGAAATTTAAGGCCAACACAATTTATGCAAGCAGGTTTGTGAAAATCTTCTAATGGCATCGTTTAGAACTATATAGGACAATTAACTTTTGAAAATCACATTCAAAATCAAAATGTAAAACGTTATTCGTAAGCTTCCAGCACAGATTAGAGTTTGATGCATTATAGGTGTGTTGATTAAACGATTGAAAAAAGAAAAATGATTGTAGAACCTTTTTGAGTTTGTTTGCAGTTGCATAAACCTCCCCAGCTAAGACTTTGTCGCCGAACAAGGAGACAGCCTCTTTGACGGAGCGGAATGGCGGCCTTGTGTCTATCTCTGCCTTTCTGACAAGCATGACGCCATCTTTGATGTTCATGTTGGTGTTGGTTCCAGTGTAGTAAAGGGATGAAGATGTGTGAGAGAGAAAGAATAACAAGTGTAGGATTGGAGAAAGGAGAAGGTTGAGTTGAGATATATGTGATGAAGATTGGAAGCTTCGTTTCTTCGCGTCCACTTCACTAGAATTCTGTTTCTTATGTTTGAGGCTCAAGGCGGTGGGTGGATGCCCTTGGCTCTCGTTACTGTGGCTGTTGGAAAACAAATGGTCCAAACTTTATATATATATATATATATAGATATATATTTTGTCAGCACAACTATAGAGAAGGACTCTTCACCCATACCCAACTTCAAACCCCACTTTTCTTATGCTTCTCCATCATAGAAGCGTGTGGAAAGGTATATGCTTTCTAAATGAAATCAATAATGGTGAGATGACTTAATTTTACATTTATTTGATACATAATATAATATAAAAATTTATGTATGTCAAATAATTATTTTTCTAATAAAAAAGGAGGAAATAAAGAAAAAAGAAAAAAAATACTAGATATCGTTTTTCTATATCAAAAAGAAAACAAAATGAAGTAATTGATGATGCGTTTTGAAGTAAACAGTGACAGTGACAGTAAAATATAAACAGTGATGATAACATTTTGTGTGAAAGTGATAGATCAAATATAAAAATTTGTCTGTATGAAAGTGTTATTTCTCTTATAAATCCAGACAGAGACGTATACAAAGCTTTCGTGAACGAAAGAAAAGAAACTAAGTTTATTTAACGTTAGAAATATAAGTTCAGAGTACTCAGTTTAGTAGAAATAAAAAAAGTAGAATAAACGAAGAGAAAAATAACACTTACAAACATTAAGTCAGATTTTAGGTTAGAATTGATATAAAACTATTTTTGTATAAATAAATTATACGTTAATCTTTCTAGTCTATTTTAATAAAAAAAATTCAATTCTAATATTAAAGATTTGTCTTATTATTTCCAAATAGAAATAAATATGTTCCATTATATTTAGGAGATTATATGATTCAAAACGAAATATAGAAAAATTGAATAAATTTTATATTATTGAATAATAGACATAGAGTAATAAAACTTAAAAATAAGAAAGAAAAAGATAATTTACAAATAAAAGAAGAAGTTAATTTTAAAATAAAAAGTAGTATAATCAATAAAACTAATAAAACTATGAAAGACAAAAAATATTTAATATAAAAATAATATTAGTATGGCAACTAAAAACATGTATAATAATTACCGCAAAACATAATCTTTTTTAAATTTACAAGAAATGTTAGCGATGAAGTACAATTGTCATCAAAGATATATGTGTGTTAGAGAGAATTTACCTTTTATAAGGTTATTTTTTATTAGTTTTTTTTATTATATTTTTTTTCTTTTTTTTTTCTATTAAACTCGGACTTACATTCTCTAACAGAATTTTGCTCAAATAGAAATTGGAACCCTTTAATCAAAATGATATGTCTCTAAATAACTAACTGATATTGTTATTACTCTAGTTGTTGTACTTTTAATCTATAAGGCCAAAAAAACTGGAAATTGAATGTTATTTTAATATTAATTAGAGGTGCAACTATATCAACCTCTACAAAAAAAAAAAAAGAGACAAATGAGAGTCAATTACATCTTATTTCACCCCATCAAAATAATATTAACACATAAAAACAATTATAAACAGCAAAAAATTAAATATGCTAAGAAGTGATTAAATTTGAAAAAATAATATTAATTTTGATAGAAAATAAGTATTAATGATAAAAATATAAAAACATACGTATGATTTCTATCAAACAAAATTTACATATTAATAAATAGAAGTATTACAAAATATCCTATGATTGCATTATTCACATAAAAGAGAGGAGTGCATATTTAAGGATTTAAAAAATGTCGCAAAGCTAAATGTTACTATAAAAGATTTCAAAAATTAATTTTTGGTTTAAAATTATTTTGAGCTTTAAAAACATTTTTTTTTAATTTCGCTTTAAAAATTTTCTATATTGTAAATTTTTATTTAGTTTTATTGGTGATATGTTAGCCACATCAACCTATTAATATTAGTAGTGATCTTGTTAGTAACTGTCAAAATAGTATGAGAATAATATATTATGTACTTGATCATGTTGTGAAATCTACCAAAAGTGTAAAGATTGTTTGATATGTCATGTAATGATCATAAAGACATTACAATCTTTATCACCTATGATCTTATAAAATATTTTCCATCAATATTACATTTTCTTTCAGTGAAAAGAATAACAAATTTCAAAATGTTAAAATAGTAAAAGACTTTTCATTTAAAGTAATAAAATGAGAGATTAATTAAAATAATGAGAGAAAAATTTTTGTCAATAATTTTTATGTTATATGAAAAAGTTTGGTTTTGTAAGTTTTTTTATTGTTTTAAAAATTGAATATGTATTTGCACATTTTTTTCAAATAAGTGGTTGACTGGTTCTTTTTCAGGGGATGTAGTGGAATAGTTAAGATTATATTTTAGTGAAAGAATAAGTTTTATTTCAGAAGGACCATTGGTCGAGCAGTAATATTATTTGTTAGTGAAGATATCATAACAAATTGTTTCGTAGAAGAATATACAAATGAAATAGGTAAAATATATATATATATATATATATATATATATATATATATATATATATAAAAGTTAAAATAATAAATAAAGATAATTCAGCCTAAATTTATACAGACTAAGTATTTTCTTTTAAACAATCGAAAAGTTTGAAATACACTGATAAACAAGGCATTTACTTGATGACAAGAACAGGGCAATAGATGTCAGATTTAGCTAAATATTTACTGCGTTCCCTCTGATTTTACCAAAGAGGTAATCAAAGCTGACCTATAACATGGCAAGTCCTGTGTCACGTCGAATAACGTGACAGGCGTAACAGTAGCACAAAAGACCAGCATATGCAGAAAGACAACAATGAAACAGTAGTATATTTCTATGCCAATTTGTTTTTTCTGTTCAATTTCAGATGCGCTCATCACATAACTATTGTTGCGTAATCAATCTACCTTTACTTTCTTCACATACAGAAGAGGAGGCAAGATGAATGTCTTGGCCATTTGCTCTGGATATTGATGAAGCGAGGGTGAAGAGGTGTTGTTGCTCAGAGATTGAAGAGATCTTGGATCCAAGTGCTTCAAAGGATGCAGTGGAATGGGGAAGGATTACTTGGGGACAAGGACTCGCTACAGAAGAGTCATGTCCACCACTTTGCCAATTAGGATATTGGGCCCTCACAATGCTGCAATTTACAGAAGACCCGCCTTGAGATGCAAGCTGCACCGCCCAAAAACTATGGTGCTGTTGTTTATAGGAAAGTGTAGAACTATAATGAGTTCCACGTAACGGGGTACCATAATAATGAGGCTGCTGCTGCTGCAACCGGACCTGTAGTCAATTAAAGCATCACGGAATTGAGCTTAATATGATAATAAGACAAAGGGAAAGGGTGTTGGTATGTTAAGGATATAAATTGCATGGCTTCTCTTTCAACTCCATTCGGGTGGGGCAGGTTATTCCAAGTTAAGACAATAAATTTTAGCCGCTCCATTAACATCACTTTAAGCCATATTTCTTAAACTTGACCCAGGACTTTTTAGTTCATTAATGTATAAGATTGATAGGAGTCTAGTAAGTAAAAACCTGTGGTCCTACAAGAGGAAGATGCTCCATGAAATTTGAGGCATATGGACTTTGAAAAGGCATGAGGCCATGCTGCTGTTGTGGCGATTGAAAATAAGGCACTTGAGATTTTGAATATGGTTCCAACTTACTTTCACCTTTATTAAAACTTTCGTTGACCTTTAACTCATTACCACCAGTTGACAAGGACAAGAAGTTGAAACCCTGCAGAAAATTAATAGTCATCAAATCAGGCACGAAGAAGAGGGGACACAGAGAGGTATACTATAATCATATTTATCCAAAGCTTACCTGTTTTTGAGGACCATGCACCCCAGATGTTGAAGGAGCCTGAGAAATATCGTGATAAAGGCCATGTTGAAGGATACCATTCTTAGTTTCACGTGAATTACTCATAGTAGCAGAATGAACTGTTCCAGCGGCATTACTATTTCCACTTTTCTTCCAATTCAAGTTGTGTGCTTCCATTATAACCCCACAGTTTGACCCTTCGGGTACTCTCGCTTGATGACTTTCATAAAGCTCATGTCCTTTGCCCGCCAGTCCTCTTGACACTTCTAAGCTACGGATGAGATGACTGATGTGAACATGAGATGCACACCTCTTCCTTGATTTCTTTTCTTGTGTAACAATTTCGGAAGTCTGCATCGATAATAAAAATCAGACACAACAGATAGGCGTTTGAGCAAAGTGTCTGGGCCAGGATGAAAAACTTTTGACATTATTTAGGTAAATCATGCAAAACAGTTCTATAAACATAGATTTGCAATGCATTACCTTTTCACCAGAAGAACAACTTTCCCTCAAATCCTGTTTCGAGGTGCCAATTGCAGTATTCAGCCAATCTAGAGTTTTAGCAGCAGAAGTCCTTCAGAAGAAAAACCCATCAAATCAGGATATGATGAAGAGGGGAGAATAGGGGGTGGATTTGGCCTCTAAAAAGGACAAAATGAAGTAGAATTAAAGAAATTTACTGCAAATAAGAAGCAACAATTCCAGTTGATGCAGTGGGAGACAGGCTTGGCCACCATGTTAGGCTTTCTGGTAAGACAATAAAAAATGGTCAGCCAACTGATGAAATTTTTAGCCTATACTTATAATCACCGGGGGGCAAAATATCATTGCCTGTACCAAGCACATTTAGTCCACGAGCATACCAGTTTCTTTTTGGTACTTGACCATATGTTGTTCTTGCTTGCAATCAACGCTTCCAACCTGAAATGTAAGCCGACAACACCAATAGTACTGACGCTAGCTTGTAGTAGAAGAATTTAAGCACAAATTGTAAAAGTTGAAATTACTACCGTCTGATATTCCACGTTTGATTTCCTCCCAAAATGTGAAATCTGTGGCTGTATGGGTACGTTTAATCTGTAATATGATGAGAAAAAAATGTAGTTTAAATATTAAAAATTTGAAAAGGAAAGGATAGACTAGAGAGATTTCAAGAATGCAACTAAAAGACTACCCACCCCATGTCCAGAGACAGTTCAGATTCATGCAATGCAACTCTGCCGCCACTATCACTC